CTACTTCTACTTCTACTACTACTACTACTACTACTACTCCTACTACTCCTACTAGTACTCCTAGTACGATTGCAGCTGCTGCTGCTGCTGCCTTTAGATTATTATTATTACTATGATTTTTACTAGTACTATTGTTACTGCTACTGCTATTGCTATTTCTACTGTCACTGCATCTTCCCCTTCTATTGCCACTATTGCTGCTGGTGCTAGTTTTTTTACTGCTCCCTCTACTAGCAGTGATAGCAGTTTTAGCAGCAACAGTAGCAGGAGGAGAAGTAATAGCAAGTAGGAGATAGTAGGAGTATCAGCATGCTATGATGAGTCCTTACGAAAGGGTACGGATCAGGCAGTTTACGTAAGCACCCCCGATCCATAGTACGGATCACCGCGGAGCGATCCATACCCGATTTTTGACTCATACCCATATATTTATTATATATTTAAAATAATAATAATAATAAATTAATATATATTAATATATGTATATATATAAATTACATTTATTTATATTCATTATTATTATTATTAAAACATAATATATATAATAATTATAATAAAATTAATATTTATTAATTTCTAATTATATATATATTTTATGTGATATATTTAAAACCTTCTGAAAATGAAGGAAATAATGGAAAGGAATTATAGATTATTTCGGTTTTTGTTCTTGTATTATTATTTAATTTATAGTGCTATTAACGGGCTAATACCGGCTAATTGAGAATAATAAGATTAAATTAATTTCGATTGAGGCTTGGACTCTGGACTTGCTAAAATTGTCCTATCGGCACAAGGCCTGATATAGAAAATTTATAGGTCCCTCTTTGATTTAATTATCAAGATTTTTCATCTATTCCTCCATTACCCGGAAGAAATTGAATTCTCATAATAATAGCAGGAATTCTTTGAATAATGTTAATAAAAATATTAAGAAATATTCCGAATATATTTGGTTCGATATTATATTATATTGAAAAATTATTAAGGATCTGTATATATCGGCCCCTGCGAATGAGCTCAAGCGGATCAGATATTGCCATATATAATTTTCATTCGTTGGAAATCCCAGAATTATAATAGTTTTCCTCTTCTTTCTGGGTGATTCATCCCAAGATACCGCAAGTAAAATCGATGTGCAATGACGGATTAATAACATAAAAAATTAGTCGAATATTGACTACATATTTGACGAATATGTATAGGTGGCCAGATACTATAAATACCCATAATGCATTGCAAAAAATCAACCAAAATTTGTGCGTATAACGACGCTTTACAAAGCCCAACACTTCAACCACACAGCGGCCATTAATCCGCATGGGTCAAGAATTTGGGCAGCTACCCAAAGATTCTGAAATTGGACACCACTAGTTCATATTAAAATAAAATTTATATTGAACAGACATCCAATTATGGCATCAAAATGAAATTCATTTTTAGAGGAATGTATCACCGATTGGGCATCCTGAGCGCAACCACGTTGTGAGGCATAAGATATTTGAAACCTTCAAAGCTTAGTTGCCCGATTGCAATTTTGAGAAAATTTTGCTGGTCACCACCCACCAGCGCAACAGGCTGAGCTCAATCAAAGGTGCTATGCCTGCCACTTTGGCTTTTGGCTATGTGCCTTCTGAGGGCGGTGCTATGGATGAACCTGGTCTTGAATCCTAAGGCGATCAAGTGGTTTTGCCGCACATTTTCGAGATCAAGCAGAAGCCGCCATCGCCTTCCACAGGACGAATCAAGATCTTGCCTTAGGAGCTGCTGCCCTTCATCGCTCACGTGTTAATAATAATGAATTCTTTATTGGTGATTGGATTTTCTATTGGAAATCTGAAATTCATAAATTTAATCCCCTTTCGGAGGCGAAAACCTGCTTTGGTCATTGCCATTGAGGCCAATATCGAGAAAGTAACGATAATTTATTGGATATTTTATTATAATTCATTGGTTCGGACAATAAAATAATAGTTTCGTTATTAGCCGATATTTCAATATTATAAAAAAACAACCAAATCAAGAGCGGAAAATAACTTAGAAAAGTCTTTGGCCGATCGCATCCTGGTTTTTCTCAAACCTGTACGAGGTCCAATATGGCTCATGTAGGGGGAACCGCTCGGGTGAAAGATTACCATCATTTACCATCTGAATTAAAAATAGAAGAGCCAACCCCCAAAAAAACAAAATCATCAGGTATCCACAACATCCGAAATCATTGATGATGGCAATAATTACACCGATGACTGAGCCTGCCCTGCACCTGATGAATTTGATCGCTTTACAGGATTTAATTTCCCCATCCTTCCTGATTAAGAAAAATCTGATGTGGCCGCACCGGCCGAATCAAAGGAGAGGAAGGGTAAGGTCGCTGCCAAGAAGAAACTGGCAAATCTGATCAAGGGCAAAGCTGCCAAATTCTCATCTCAGCCAAAGGATAAGATTTTACCCGCTGCACTTAGGGCAGAACCTCCTATTGAGCCGGAATAATTGGACGATAAATCGATGGATTTCGAGATCAGTCAAGAGCAACAACAAATTCGAGACATATTGACATCGATTACCCGAATGTCTTGGATCCCCACTATGAGATTGTCGAGAGTGTCCCTGGACATGAAGAAGAAAGCGATACCGACCGGGCACGAGAACGAAGATATTTAGAGCAAGTAGTTAGAACTACAAGCCGAATTTTTGATGAACGCGATCGTTACCTAGATAGATGTCCACAACGTCAAGCTAACAAACAATTTCAACCCAAGCTAACGAAAACAGAAGAAATTCATTTTCTTGAGATCATTGAAAAGGAAATCCTTCAGATTGTGGTGGAAAATTATTTGGGTTTTAATAAAAAGAAAACCTTTATTGAGGCCAAAAGGAAAGTATTGGTTCCCTGGGCTGAAAATAATGCATGTCGACAATTTTTCGGTCAAAATATCCCAAAAAAACGATTATCCCAATATAATTCCTGTTGAGGTATAAGGAAAATTAGTTTCATGTAAGAATTATCTTGCAGGGCTTCAAACACAAGGATGTCCTGGAATCCAAGCTGGACACAGAATTGCCTACGATCTCTCGAGTCGACAAATATCTGTTGGTTCTGATGGCATGTTGCAAAAGATGACATATCGGCATCATGGATGTGAAGGGAAGAGTATATTTTTGCAGAGTAACCATATCCATCAAAAGGTCGAGATCTATGGTGAGCCTTCTGCCAATCTGCTTAAATTCCTGGCAAACCAGGTTTTGCAAATGTCCGAGCATCACGGCAATGGAACAACATGGGTAACAAGACCCTAATCCAAGATATAGCACTCCTAAAATATAAATTAAATAAATATATTTACATCTCAATTCGATTTACCATGGAATGAATCCGATCACGACTTCACCATCTTTGCAATGGATGACCAGAACTATATCATCGATGAATTTCTTGGAATTCATGTGGACGATATCATGACTTGTAATAAAGGAATTTATGGTTTTCAAAACACCAAGGAACCCCAAGGTGACAGACCCAGCTGCTTTGCTGAGCGTCTACATGTGTTGTTATATTCACGTCGCTTCGCGACGGCAACCGCCCGCACCGCATCGCTGGGCTCACAACATCGTGCAAAGTCGAACATGATTTCGTTGCGCTGCCACGAAAATGAGTATGATTAAATATATGGCAAAATAACAAACAGTGCCAAATGAAATACTTGACGTTGTTTTTTTTTGACATTTTGCCGAGTGGACAAAAATCAGTATCAAAAACGCCACTGAGAGGGTTTTTTTTGCTGCTCGGACGCATTGAGAGGTTTGTGTGGTAAACCAGGGCACGGTCGTCATTTCACCTCATGTTTGGTCAAGTTACCGACCCAGGATTGTGCGCGGTTTTTCCCGGCCATGTTTGTTCAATGGAGTCGATTTATTGTGTCATAGCTTGATGTATTGTGATTGGCCATTGATTTGAATGATTTGCATGTGGCCGCCATGCCGGCGCCCAACATTTGTGCATTTACATCATTTTTTTCCAAACCCGCTTCTATGATCAAATCCTTTGCACAGAATTTGGCTCAACAACTGTTTGCATTTGAATGTAGCGGGTACGGACATGCGCTACAAGTTGGTGTGTTGGCACCATGATGTTTTGGTCGCCAGATCACGGCCAGCTTTTTGAAGGCCGGCGTTCGCGTCAAGACACAGTGGCTACTCTCTGGTAAACTAACATGGCATTGGAGATGGGTGATTTATAGTTGGTTAACCATGGTTATATAACATGGTGATTTCCATAGCCAAATTAGTTTACCAGAGGGTACCAGTGGTCTCACACCAAATCCAATCCAATTTGCGTGGCTCCAGTGACTGTGGCAGATTGGGTCTTGAGCCTCCTGCTGGCATGCTCTACGGTCACCTTTTTTGTGGTGCATTATGCCTTGGAAGTAGAGGCCGGGTGGACGCCACATCACGTTTCGTTGCTCGAAATTGCTATGGCTGCGGTGGGTCAAACGGTCAAAGGTAGGTCAATCCATCATTTTCAGAGAAAATTTTGTTTTAAGATGGAAACTCAGATGGAAACCATCCAAACATCATTGGTTTTAAGTGTGTTAGGTGGAAATGCTCAGATGGCACACTTTTTTCAAGCCCATGTTCCAATGATTTGCTGAGACCAGGTGCGGAGCTGCAAACTTGAACTATTTGAATGGCTGTGAACACAAGCAAATATCCATGTCAATCATGTCACAAACACTTGTCAGAAGGGAAAAATCCTATCAGATCGAATGCAAAAGTACCCAACGATCAGATGATTCTGCAGCGTGGCACTTGGGGCAGGGTTCGCTTAGCAAAAGTCTGGCCAGGAACCCCTGGATGAAGCCGAAGACATGTTGGAAGAATCCCACACCCTGCGTCATTCCACCAGATCAGAGAGGATGGGGAGATGGGAAAAGGGTGCCAACCCAATGGACAATCATATGACAATCATATGATAATCATATGACAATCATTAATAAACCCAATAAACCCAATGGACAATCATTGTCATTCAAATGAGTGGCCTTATTGTTTTCAGACCATCATGTGTGCATTGAGTTCCAAAGAGCGAATTAGATTCAATGTGTCAACTTGCAGGACTTATCGGGAGACATGCCTAATGATTGACGCAGAACTTTGCAGGCACATTATGAATCAAACAGTGCAAGTTCGAACACGTGGTGCTTGAAACAGTTCGTCTTTATCGCCTTTTTACTTGTCGTTTGTTCCCGCATCTTGTTTTCACATTGTTTGGCTGCTGTCTTGTAATGTCCGTCCTGTGAGGCCTGCCCCGATTTGTCCCACGTTTGTCCTCCATTTGTTTTGTTTTAAAAGAATCTCGCTATGTTTTCTCTCCATGTCTCCTTCACTGGAATTGTGATCCTCTGCAATAGTGGTTCCTTCTGCTTCCCCATTCGTCTCCTCCATTTTCTCTGCTCATTTTCCCCATAGTTTTTTTTGGATGCATCTCATGTAAAACGGGAAGGCTTGTCTCACAGGACTGTGGATACTATGCCATGCCGTACTTTTTTCCTGTCTGGGACTGTTTGCTGAATTTCGAGCTGCTCGGAGGCCAACAATGCATGCGGCTATCAGGGGCTGGAACGGACGATTGTTAGTGCACAGGACGGGAGCAGAGAACAGTTTGATGGCACAACCATAGTGTCTGCGCCATGCTTCCATGCTTTATGTAATTACAAGTTTTACTGTGACAAACTGGAACTTGAATCACATTGCTGGACACATTGCATTACTTTTGATATTTCCTTATATAGCCCTTTTATAGGCCTTATATGGTAGGTGCCTCCAAGTTAGGAAACTGAAATTGACATTGAATATATCATATATATATATAATAGACTATAGTTATAGATATGCCGGTATATATGAAGAGTTGATCAGACGAAGTCTGGAACTTCGCCACGGATTTCGTCATTGTCCTAAGGTCCCTCTGGCCGATTGGATCGAACGACGCATTGGTCGTGAGATCGAGGTACAGGAGGCCATCCACTGAGGTAGCCCATGAATAGTGTTTAAAAGTGGTGAATAGTGGTTAATAGGGGTTAATAATGACTGGTAAAACTAAAAACTATCATGGTCAATGGGAATAAAAAGGGTCCTAAAATGGAGTTACTGGACTGTAGAATATTTTAGGCCATATGAATTGTAGGGATATTGTTTGACATGTAGTTGATATGGTGACAACTTGTGAAGAATTGGGATTTCACGTGTTGATGTGCACCAGTGTGTGCTGACAGTTCTTTTGCCACTTGCTTCGCCGCACGTTGAAACTGGCCCAAATATCGAAGTACTCTGTGCAAGTGCCATTGGTCTTAGGCTAGCCCAGCACCCTGTATTCACAAACCCTGACAAAAGTGATCGCGAATGCAGATATGTGAATAGATGGGGCAGATGTTTGCTTCTGTTATTGAACGTCAGCGGTTCGAACAAACGCTATCGTTTTGTTAGAAATGGTGATCTGAAAATGGGGTATACCCCACACATGGTAATTTTCATGGGCTGAAAATCATTGGATTCTGGCGGTTTTCCGTTCTCGTGCTCTTGGAGCCGAGGGATCGTGAATGCATATATGTCAATAGATGGGGCAGATATTTGTTTCTGTTATTGAAAGGCAGCGGTTCCAACAAACGCTAGCGTCTTGTTAGAAATGAGGATCTGAAAATGGGGCATACCCCACACATGGCAATTTTCATGGGTTTAAAATTATTGGATTGTGGCGGTTTTCCGTTCTCGTGCTCTTGGAGCCGAGGGGATTTGTACCTGTAGCGAGAAGCTATGGCAACGCTTGTGGCGTACAATCATCGGCTTGGTAGTGTGCCTCTGGAAGAACTGTTTCCTGGGTTTCAATTTTCAGAGCTCCGGACCATCTATGTGAGGCTGCGTGAAGGGCCTTTGGAGCGGCAAGATGTGGCTATGTCTGTTCGTGTCTGCAAGGTGGATCGATTTGTAGAATTGATCCGGGAACCCCAGCTCGTGAGTGATGGCTATGTTACTGCAGTGTGTTTGGGTGAAGTTGCTCTTCCAGAAGATGGGCAGGAATGCAGTAGCTTGATTGGGCGACATGACCAGTTGTTGGCCAAGATCAAGGAAGCGGGGCAGTTTGCTGCCGAGAATCGTGCTCCGGGTGGAAGCCGGCAGCATGTTCGCAGGTTGGAGGCTGCCGCCAGATATCTTCGCGGGATGAGGGGTTTGCAGCCCGGTCTTTTGACTCTGACAGAAAACCCTGCGTTTAGAGTGTCCATAGCAGAATTTTTGGGCAATGAGGATCGGCCAGTGGAACAAGTGAATTTGGCAATCTGGATCATTAGTGTGCCTCAGGGGCAGACCGGTTTTCTTCGTATGGGAGGCATGCGGGCTTCGCCGCGACAGATGGTGACTGTGCTGTTGGGGCAGCTGCAGAGGAAGTTGCAGCAAACTGTCCGGGAGAATGAGGATGTTCGGGGCCCATTCTCAGCTGTCATTCGGGATGTCGTGAAGCCGAAGCGCAGTGGTGTTAACGTGACCCGTATGTTGCTGGTGGGTGAAGACCGAAACCGAGACTGGAAGTACAAGATGATTTGGGTTTGTTCAACACAGCAGGTATGGGCCTGGATTGCTGCGCCAGAGGCTGGTTTGTACGGGCGAGGCACTGTGCATTATGTGTCGAATGTGGGCAATTTTCGGCAAGACCAAGTGTCTGTTCAGCCAGTGGTAGATTTAGATGCAGGGACGCAGGTCGTGGTCGTGATCTTGGCAGATATCCATGAGTTCATCCACATGTACGAGGCTTTGGTCAGGCTGAGGCCAATGTTGGAGGAGGACGTTGGAGGCTTAGCTGGGACGTCAATTGAGGGTTTGGATGGTTTGTTGAAAGCCAACGCTTTCAATGCTTGGCTGGGTCTCAGCCAACCAATGGAGTTTGTCCGCAGCCCGGTCTGGGATCGCTATTTGGGATCCCAGCGAGAAGTATTTCTACGAGAGGCAGCAGTGTGTCTTGGGATTGGCAGCTTCTCTGCAGATCAGCGCCGGGTGTTGTCCGGAATCAATGGGACGGTCACAGTGGTGTCCAGTTTTGCTGGAGGGGGCAAAACGACATTGCTTGCCGCAGTGACGGTGCAGCTGGCAAGGTATCTAGAACCTCCGCTTGTTGTGTTCAATGCGCCTGCCTTGAAAACGGTGCAATCCTTCGCAAAACGTTTGGAGAAGGTTGGGTTAAACGTTTTGGTGCTTGGAGTGGAGAAGGAGGACCAGGTAGATTTGTTCGAAGAAAAATGCGCCGCTGTTGCTGCTGAGGTGTTTGAGAGACACCGACAGTTCTATGAAGCTGTTGATGAATTGTTGGAGTTGGTGCCAGCGGACCGTTTGGATGTGAGGAGTATTGTACTTGGATGGCGTTTTATTCATCTGCAAAATGTTGTGTATAATGCGATGCGGGTGGAGCAGCAACGGGAGTTGGATGCGGTCCAATGTGTTGCCTGTACCACCTCCTACATGAGCAAAATGAATGGCAATGGTGGTTGGGAGAAGCGCTTTCGTGGACGTCGCAGGTTCGGGTGTAACAAACAAGACAGGGTGGTTGCAAGTTGAAAGGTTTACGTGTGCATTTTGTTAGTTGCAGCTGAGTGATTGAAAATTTTGAAGGTTGGTCTACCTCATGGACGAGTTCATGGGCGAGCCCTTTGAGCGGACTGCGATCAACTGCATACCTTTTGAATGCATGCTACTAGTTGGTATCTTGGCTTCTGGCTCCATGGGAGGACTGGTTCGGCGTGAAACATATTTTAAATTCACAGTAAGTGTTGTTCCAAAATTAATGATTAGTGTGGAATTAAGATGGGGGAAGAGGGGTGGTTGGGCGGCCACAAAGGTGATGAGCATCAATATCCGCGTTGGAAAGCTGGAGAGAGCAGAGGGTCGTTCGGGCGGCCGCTGCAGCAGCACATCAACATGGAGTGGGTGGAGCATGCCAAAGGGGTGCAGAAGTTGCGCAGCTTGGAAACGTGGCGCACAGGCGAACCGTGCATGGCCTTTTTGCGGGATGTCTTTGGTGAAGAGGCGGGCAAAAAGGGTGACTTGGTTGGCGGGAATAAATGAGGAAATTAGCTGGAATCAAGCGCCAAAACGGCTGAACTCTAGATTGCAGCCGTTGGCTACACTTGGGCGTGGTTGGGTTGTAGTGGCTTAAATCTAGAGGTAAACGACCTCAGGCGGTTCATTGGATGGGGTTGAGCTGTACTCTTGTTTTGCTTTCTCTTTCTGTTTTTCTTACTTCAGCGAGTTTACTTTTAGAGTATGTTTTCTATGCCTGTAAGTCCTGCATGGCTGGAACTTGAGATTGTAGCGTAGCTGTGAATTGTGCTTGTAGATCCATGAGCTGCTATTCTGTGGGATGAGATTTTGATTTGAGCCTGGTCATTGTCACCATTTCAGAAGTTAAAATCAAGAGGACATCTGTTTGAATGGGTCACTGGCCGTGATACATCGAAGCGAGGTTGAGATTTGGACCATGATCAGTCCCCATTTTCTGCTCAAAATTTTGTGCTCTTTCCTGCAATTTTACTGTCCTTTGTGTGTTTCGCATCACCCTCACAGGAAAAAATAAATTCGAGTGATCCCCGCCATGGCAAAACATGGTGGGGATCACACAGATATATATATTTTTTTTTTTTGAAATATTCTGAGACTGTATCTGGCATGATCTCTGGCATTCTATCTGGCATTCTATTTGGCAATCCATTTGGCATTCGATTTTTCTTTCTGGCATTTATCTGGTATTTCCCTCTCACCAATTTCCTTGCTCCTCTCTCTTCTTTCCTGTCTCCTCTCGCCTTTCTCCTCTCTCCTTTTTCCTTTCTCCAGTGTCGTCTCTCCTCCGCTTTCCTGTGTCTTTCTCCTGTCCGCTCTGTGTCCTCTCTCCTCTTCCTCCCTCTCCTCTCGCTTCACTCCGCTCTCCTCTCTCCTCTCTTCCTCTCCCCTCAACCTATTTTCTTCTCTTTCCTCTGTCCTCTCTTCTCTCTCCCCTGTCCTGTATCCTCTTTCCTGTCCGCGTTCCTATCCAAAATCCTTGTTCCCCATGCGGTAAGGAAACTAAATGAGAACCCAAACATCAGAGATGCCTCTGGGGTAAAACGCATTTGCACGCAAACAGGACAGCCAGCAAAGGAGCATGAGCAGAGCTGGAATCTAGAGTTGATCCGATCGTGATAATGAGATCATGTCGCATGTCACGCCCGGGAGCTGGAATCTGAAGTCATGCTCCCACAGTCAGACAGTTCCCCCAGGCAAAATTGCAGAGGCTTGAATCCTGAGGTAATCCTTTTTACTAACTCCCGATTCCATGCAAGCTCACGATGAGGGTATGTGTTATGAATTGGTCTCCTTTGCGTGCGGTCGTTGTGGTAGGTGGCTGAGTGCCAGTCCAGTGCAACCCATTCGACGTATGTAGTGCCGATGCTTTTGTATGGCTTGCGAAATTGGACCGTGGATGGCCAGAACCAGAATATCCATTGTAAGCACGTGTGTCTTACAGTGGCGATGGTAGTGGCTGTGGAAATCTTGGCCGCTGCCAAGAGGGGAGTTCCTCCGAGCATTGGCATTGGAGGTTTTTTGCTGGCTCCATTGAGTGCATTGGAGTCGTTTTTGAAAAGCAAGCTGAAGACCTTCGTGGAAGCATTTGGGCCGTGGTTTGGTGTTGTTGATGAAGAACTTGATGTACTATTAGCTTCAGATTTGATGCAAGGCGGGGTTGAACAGATAACTTTTTTTTTGTGGGTGTGAGATGTACCAAACAAATTTGGAGGGTAGCTGGCAGGCGTGTCGATGCGAGGGGCTTTGGCTGCAGCAGGCTTCGAAGCTGAAACCTACATTGTGTTGGGTACCAGGATTGGGTAGTAGGGTACTGTGGTGCAGTTTGTGGCTGGAACAGAGGTCGTGCAAAGTGAGATGGGATTATTGACATTTTGGAGCCGAGTGCGTAACATTAAATCACTGGTAATAGGAAGGATACAGTATATGACAGGCAGGCAGGAGTTGTAGATTCAGATGTAGGTATTGGTTCTGGTAATTTGAAGCAATAAAAAGAAAATCAGCAGCAGAGGAGGGTGAAAAAAACTGTGAACTTGTGCTCTTGAAACTGAGTAAGTACAAAAACGTGACAGCAATAGTGAGGCGCCATGTATATGGTAGGCAGTCACGTCCTTCCAAAAGAGAAATGATGATAGGCAGGAGACGAAGCTCCGACTGGGGCGTGAAGGGGTTAGCGGCCCAGAGAGCCCTCGTGTACACTGTTATGACCAGGGCGCAGTCAATGCTATATTTTCTGGTGGAAGATTTCCGGTGGGAGTGGGTCAGGAGTTCGACAGAGCGGCAGCACTTGGGAAATCAATTGTGGCGAAGCATCGCCGAAGTCTCCGAGCGGCACATCCGCACTTACTGGCAGGAGGATCCGCAGTGGGTCGGGGATACGACAGCGGTTGTGCAGCCTTGGTGGTCTCGCAGCAGATCGTTTCAGGGTATTCAAGGCATGGCATCAGTCCCTTGGAGTGTTTACCAGCTGTTGAGTTCGGAGTATGATGATTGGCACTATGCCCCAGAGCCGGTGACTGACGGAGATGTGGTGCTGTTCAGTAATGTGGACGCATGGAAAACTTTTCTTGAGTCGTCGCAAGAACCACGCCGGCTAGTGCAGGCGCCGCGTGGATTGGAGCAATATGGTTGGCGAAGCGAGACGGTACGAGCAGCTCCTGCTGGAATCATGCAGTTTTGGCGAAGCAGGTTGATCCAGGCTGTCACCATTACTTATCAAGGTGGTGAAGGCTACATTCTCCAGCTGCCCGTCCTGCGCCCAGAGCACCACCTGGAAGATGTGACTTGATCCTTTTTTGGGGTATTGAGGGCGTTTGCAAACTTTTGCGCTCGGGTCGACGGGAGTAATGCCACGCATTGTTTGTTGTTCCCCACATTGACGTGTGGGGTTCTTGGTTTTGGTTTTGTATCCGCGCCTCGTCCTCTTCCTCCTTCCTGCCCTCTCACCCTTACTCACATTCACTTACTCACCCACTCAGACTCACGCACACTCACACACTCACTCACACTCACACTCACTCACTCACTCACTCCCTCCCTCACTCACTCACTCACTCAGTCACTCACTCACTCACTCACTCAGTCACTCACGCACTCAGTCACTCACGCACGCACGCACGCACTCACTCACTCACTCACTCACTGCACGCACTCACTCGCTCGCTCACTCACTGACTCACTCACTCACTCGCACTCACTCACACTCACTCACATATTGCGTGGCAGGTGTGGGACAATGTGCACTGCCAAGGGGTCGGATGTACGCCCTGGCGTCCCCTGGCGTCCCTCCGGGGATCCTTGGTCTCCGGTGTTTTTGCGTTGCAGGCGTGGGACAATGTGTACACTGTCAAGGGGTCGGATGTACACCCTGGCGTCCCCTGGCGTCCCCCTTGGTCTCCAGTGCTTTTGCGTGACAGGCGTGGGACAATGTGCACAGCCAAGGGGTCGGATGTACGCCCTGGCGTCCCCTGGCGTCCCTCCGGGGATTCTTGGTCTCCGGTGCTTTTGCGTGGCAGGCGTGGGACAATGTGCACTGCCAAGGGGTCGGATGTACGCCCTGGCGTCCCTCCGGAGATCCTTCATCTCCGGTGTTTTTGCGTGGCAGGCGTGGGATAATGTGTACACTATCAAGGGGTCGGATGTACGCCCTGGCGTCCCCTGGCGTCCCCTGGCGTCCCTCCGGGGATCCTTGGTTTCCGGTGCTTTTGCGTGGCAGGCGTGGGATAATGCGCACTGCCAAGGGGTCGGATGTACGCCCTGGCGTCCCCTGGCGTCCCTCCGGGGATCCTTGGTCTCCGGTGCTTTTGCGTGGCAGGCGTGGGACAATGCGCACTGCCAAGGGGTCGGATGCCTGCACTGCGCATGGGCACACTATGCTGAGTGTACGGGAGACTTTATTGCTTGTGTTTGACGTGGAAGGATGTGGTTCTAGTGTGATGAATCGTTGTGCCGCGGAGACTGAAGTGTCCTTGTCTATCTGACAGTGTTACTCCTTTGTCATTATCGGTCTCGACCGCAGGTACTGACCAGAGATGCTCTCGCAGCTGGCCGACCTGCTTGCACATCATTCACATATACATCACACACAAATATTGCGCACCAGACACACACACACATCACACATACATGCATGCATGCATACATACATACATATATATATATACATACGTACATACATAGACACAAACTCACCCACCATCACCCTCCATCACTCTCATACTTCCTCTTCCCTTATTGCTTTTCTGTGCTCAGTTTAAGTCCGGAGAAGTTGTTAACATGTGGGGTTATCCGGTCCTATAATTCAAAGGGTTGTGGGGGCCTCAGGCGTCGGATCCGTGCTGGTTGATCGAGCACATTGCGACAGAAAGCATTGGTCGGTTTCGTGAGTCGGAAGAAGCCCAGGAGCGGGTCAGAGGGGGTGAAGTATTGGAGTATTTCGTGTCCTCGTACAAGTGGGAATCTGTGGCTCTGGCCCGAGAATATTGGTTGTCCCAATGCAGAAGCGAGCGCCCGGCCTGGGTGCTTGCTGCGCGTCAGGGGGAAGGAAGGAAAGAGCTGCTGCATTTCTACCAGGCAATGGGATTGCACCGTGCGCACCCTTGGCAGCAAACCCTTTTGGCAAGGCTGCGCAGTCACTCGATGGCTCGATGTCTTTTGGAAGTCATTGCGCGGCATGTGGTCATTTGGCGCTCCCAGGTTGTGTCATTTGAGGATCTGCCAGAGGGCGAATTGCGCAAGTGGGAGGAGGTCCTTGCTTCAGTGGCATCCCACGATTCAATCATGAGAGGAGAAGGGTTGCGATGTCCATTACCAATTCAGAGTGCTGATGCTACTGAGTAACTTCCCTCAACCCCAAGTCAAAGCAGGGTGACTACGTTGCGCATAAGCATGAACATGCATGAACAGAACTGTGCATTTTTGGAGTTGTTTAAAAGGTAGAAGATGTAGCATCTACACCGAGATGGCTGAAGTAGTCTTGTTTTGTCTTCACTGAGAGATCGGAATAGTGC